GCAGCTGCATCCTGGTTTAAGGAACTTTTTGGTGATGGGTGCTGCAGTTCTGCAATTGTAAAGTTACAGCATTGTACTCCAGTCTCAGCTGCAGAAATTTAATAACAGTGACTGGAGGAGAGTTTCTAGCAGGCATCCTAGAGGTAGGAGCAGGGGATATGAGGATTAGTTACTAGCATTAAGTCTTAGCCGTGCATAGTTTTTAGTTCATGGATGTTATTGTTGCTCCCTTATATACACTGATTGAAAAATGTATGTGAACTTCCACATTTGGTGTCTGCGTAAAGATAATATAAGGAACCCCCTCGATCAATTCATGTTTGTGCCAAGGGCAATGGGCTTTGTTTGTGGGATGTCAGGGCTAATCTAGTAGCAGGCAGGTGTAAACCAACATTTTTTCTGTCGTACGTCCTAACTAATCTCTTCATTTGTGCCCCATCACATTTAAGAACCCTTTCAAATGGCTTTTTCTTAGCAGACTGTCTGATTATAGATTGCGGAGCTCACAACAACAAACATAACATGGTTAAAAACATTTACAGTTGCAAATGGAAAGCGTGAAAATAGTAAGGGGGGAGGGGAGAAAACCACCAAAGTAACAGGAAAACAAAATGGCCATATGCTCCAATGAAATTTGCATCATTTTTTCTGTAAACTTAAAGAAGCTGCAAAAAAGTACATTTTCCTTCAGAAAGGGCTTGATATCAACTTGCAGCAAAGCAAGACAGGACAGCAACACTAGAAAGCAGTTAATAGACAGTCGGGGCCCTTTTCTTTATTCCCAACGCACCCACAACTTCAAAGGTCAAACTCTCCTCTCAAGTGCATTGGCACCAGAGATTAAATTTACCTTTTGCTTAGAGTGGTACAAATGGGTGTAAGACCAGAACTTGGGCTTGAGGAAAGGGAAAGCTAGTGCTTTTGTGTGTGTGTTCAGCTAGATGCATTTAGCTCCTGCTTCCAGCTGTTACTCATGGGCAAGCAACTTTCCCATACTATGCATCAGTTTCCCCATTTTTTAAATGGAGATAATTGTACTTACCTTTTAAAGCACTTTGAGATTCACAGGTGCAAAGGCCTGTGTAATAGCTACGTTATAGTGCTAGGTGCTGTACAGACACACAATGAAAAGAGATGCTGTAACAGGGAACCCAAACCCTGTTACTCGGGCACAATGGAAGGGAAGAGAGGGGACTGTAATAGAGAGTCAGGGGGCTTCTGTCACTTTAATCGGACACAGCAGGATAAGTTGGCAGTGTGGGACATAGCTGCAGAAGTGCAGGCTGGCCCTTAATTAAGAGGGTAAAACACCTGTGTTGGGTGGTGGGGGTGGGGATGGACATAACAGAAGTGGGGGCTTCTAGGCATATAAACCCAGGGCCTGAGCTACAGCAGTCAGTCAGACTCTGCAGGCTGTACAGAGAGAAACTCCCCCAGGGAAGCTGATTGTAGGAAGCAGTGCCCAGGGATAACCAAGCCAGCCACAAATGTGAGAGTGGGCCTAGCCTTGGGAATTTGGGAGTTTGTGGTATGATATTGACAGCCAGTGGGGATAAATTGTATAGTAGTAGTTTGCTTAAATTTCAGTTGTGCTGCTGTATGTTTGCTTGTTTGTTGAACAACTGGTGGACTCTGTAGGGGCACAAGCAGGGTACCTGGCAGGCAGCTTCCACTGAGGCTGAGGCCCAGAGGGCCAGGGCGTGAGTTAACGGATCTGGAGGAGAAAGAAGTGCTGAAGCTGAACAGGATGGAGCTTGGACAAGAGTCGGGGTCCAAGGGGTGCAGTGTTAGTTCAGGACACACAGAAAAAGTGTGTATGGAGGGGAGTCTTTCAGGTGTTGGGGTCTGAACTCCAAGCCAAGTGGGCCAGGGTGAAGCCACAGAGAGGAAAAAGGGACTAGGAAAAACACCTAGAGCTTGCTAGCTTCAAAGGGAAGCCTTCCCTCTTCATCAACAATATCAAGGCATGGCCCAATGTACTGTATTTTATGAAATAACTATATTCATTATTGAAACACAAGGTTATGCTGAAAAATGCTTCACCTGTGGGATTTCTGTTGAGTTCAGTGCATGGTGATCTTGCAAGACCAGATCTCTAGATTCTAGCTTCAGGCTTGTGCTTATTTTTCTAGGTGATCTTGGACAAGTACCAACATTTCTATGACTCAGCTTCCTTCCAAACCCTACTAAGTGTTCTGGTCAGTAATCAGTTTGGCAAATCCTCATTATTTCCATTTGTAGGAGTGTTACCTTTTGGGAGGTGTTCTCAGTGCATCATGTTGATGAGGTCACACGCATTCAGACTACCTTTGGTTTCTCAGGGCACAGCAGGTTCTGGAATTAGAATTGCTTTTGCTCACTCAGAGGCTGGCAGTGCTTTGGCCCCTCACCTGAGAAGGAGACTGAGATATGTCTCTTAAGGGAGCATTTACAATGCCTTAGTTCAAAAAGCATTCCTGGGTTTTGAACTTATCACTCTGTTTAAGGCTGTAGAAAAGATGTGGCAGAACTGGCAACACCTCGGGTCCCCAGACTTCCTTAGTCCAGGACAATCTAGATTTAGAGTTGGAAGATGCTGAGGCAGTATTTAGATGACGTTCAACCCTACATCCATCTCATACATTCTGCATGGTGCAGATCACTAACTACTTTGTTCTCTTGCTGGGGATGGATGACGGTGAGCTGTCTAAGATTCAGCCCATGCAAGACTAAGACTATACGCTACAATTAATTAGAAGCACTGTTGGAAATGCCAGGCCTTCAAAATGTTAAATCAGGTTCCAAAATCATGATATTTAAAAATGTTGCCTTTTACTTGTTTTGGGGTTTTGAATATTTAGTGTGCATCCTAGCAGATTCATTGATGTTTCTCCAGTCAGACTGTTACTACTTTTTAAATGAAAGTGGAAATTCTCAACCATTTGACTGAGAACTGGGGACTCGTGTTGCAGCGAACCAGGCCCCTGAGGGGGAATTCTGGAGTGCTGTGCGGCCACATCTGAATACTCACTCGCATGTCAGAGTGCAGAGTGCAACAGCCTGTATGTTCATGGGCCCCAGAAGTCCCATTACCTCTGTGGTCCCCAAGCAGTACTAACTTCATATTCATTTCTGGATGAAATTTAAAGGTCTTGTTTAACTTAATGAGCTGGGTGTTGATTAACTCCAAAGACCATCTGTGTGATTGCATGGTATTTAGAAGCAGTGCAGGGACTGCAGCATGCTGTCCATCTCCCCTCTTGTGGAGGTGATTGGGAAGGAGGGGGAAGTCCCAGTGCCCTGAGAGATAGGAGAGGGTCCTTTGCTTGGCAACATACCAATGTATGCTTTGGTTCACCAGAGCCAGATATTGGGGACACCTTAGATAACAATGCAAAGACCACTGGGTCACCTAGGGTGGCCTGGGGAGTGGGAAGGAAGGAGGGAGTGGGATCCTATTTGGTTTCCTAGAGCATACCAGGTTCTGGTATTAGAATTGCTTTTGCAATGTCTAGGAGGGTTGTAAAATGCTGGAACAGGCCACCTAGAGACTCTCCATCCTTGGAGGTTCTTAAGCCCTGGCTGGGATGATGTAGTTGTGGATGGTCTCGCTTTTGAGCAAGGGCTTGGACTAGATGACCTCCTGAGGTCCCTTCCAACCCTAATTTTCTATGATTCTCTGATGTTAGGAAGACCTATTAGGAAGACTAGTCTGCTAGGACAAGTGGCCAAAGCAAGTGTTACTTTTAACAGATCTAAGTGCAGTAACTGAATAACACTTCCCTGCTTCTGAGGGGCTGCACTAAGCTTACAGGTCATGCAGCTCATGGAGGTCTGCACATACAAGGTACTCCTCGGGAGTGGTGCATAGATTGTGGCTTTAGGAATACAGGCCCCTGAGGGAAATGAGGAGGCACTGTTGATCTCCAAGGAAATGTCTTGCAGGGGGCACATTTCTTGAGCGGTGCAAAATTAAATCCTTTCCACTTTCTCTCTTAAGCAGGGAAGGAGGGTGCTGTGTGGGCCCAGCCCGGCC